TTCGAACCCAACACCCTCTTTCCTAGGGTTTCGGTTCAGGATCTGCCTTTTGAGGACATCACACAGTGTCTGATGCCCTTTGAGACTTTTGAACATCCCTGTTTCAAGCAATGTCTTCAACCTAGCATTCCCATCAGCAATAGCAGTGGCATCCTCAGCAGAGGGGTTAGTTACCACATCAACAGTTGAAGATATTGCAACAGTAGCAGCAGTAGAACATTCAGCAACAGAAGTAGCATTATCACGCTCAATGCATTTAAGACACGGTGGTTCAAATCCTTCCTGAGCGGAACTGATCTGTTTGGCGCGAAGTGACTCATTTTTTGTTTGAAGATCTTCATGAGCCGCTCTCAGTTTCTCAAGATCTTGCTTCCTTTGAAGATAATCATAGGAAAGCTTTTCATGAGTTGTTGAGAGCGTTTCATGATGACTTTCAAGTTCCTCATACTTAACGTGAAGATTTTTTATGTCTTCAATTAAGGACTGAGATCGAGTCATTTCAGCGTCTAACAGGTCATCGCTTTTGTCTAACAGTTTTTGAATATGTTCCATAGCTTTCTGTTGTTCAGTTGCAATTTTAGCAAGTGTTTTGTAGCTAGGTTTGGAACCACAATCAGAGTCATCTTCACTATAAGTTTGATAGTGAGTAGTGCGTGTGTTTACCTTGGCACCGCGTGCCATGAAGCAGTAGGTAGGAGCGGAGTAGTCCTTGTCATTTGCATCGGTGTCAGTGACGGAGTCATTGTCTTCAGTGTTGAAGATGGACTTGGCAACGTATGCTGTAGCCAAACTCGCAACGCCAGAATCGGACTCCTCCTCAGACTCCACCTCTGCCTCCTCAGAAGCGTACTCCTCCTCCGAATCCATTTCCTTGCCAACAAACGCACGTGCCTTGCCAGATGAGCTCTTCTTGTGTGATGAAGACTTTGAGGAAGACTTGGAAGAAGACTTTGAGTATTTCTTCTTCTTCTTGTCGTCATAATCATACTCCTTGCTCTTCTTTTTCTTCTTGTTCTCATTGTCCCACTGCGGACACTCAGAGATGTAGTGGCCAGGTTTCTTGCACTTGTGGCATGTTCTCTTCTTATAGTCATGAGCAGAAGCTTCATCATTCCTTGAGCTTGATCATGAGGACTTTCTGAAGCCTTTCTTCTTGGTGGATTTTTGGAACTTCTTCACAAGCATAGCAAGCTCCTTTCAAATGTCTTCAGGATCATCAGAACTGCTGTTAGACTCTTCTTCAGATGAGGAGACGGCTTTTGCCTTCAAGGCACGAGTTCGCCCATAGTTGGGACCATAGATGTCTCTTTTCTCAAAAAGCTAAAACTCGTGTGTGTTGAGCCTCTCAAGTATGTCAGACAGATCGAGTGTTTTGAAGTTAGGACGTTCTTGAATCATCAGGGCTAGGGTGTCAAACAAGCTGTCAAGTGATCTCAGGAGTGTCTTGATAACTTCATGCTTGGTGATCTCAGTGGCGCCGAGGGCTTGAATCTCATTTGTGATGTCAGTGAGTCGATCAAACATGAGCTGAACATTCTCATTGTCATTTCTCTTGAAGCGGTTGAAGAGGTTGCGAAGGACACTGATTCTCTGATCTCTCTGGGTTGAGACACCTTTGTTAACCTTGGAGAGCCAGTCCCAGACTAGCTTAGATGTTTCCAAAGCACTCACATGGCCATACTGTCCTTTGGTCAGATGACCACAAATGATGTTCTTGGCAGTGGAGTCCAGTTGAACGAACTTCTTGACATCAGCAGCGGTGACACCTTCACCAGCCTTGGGAATGCCATTCTTGACGACATACCATAGGTCGACATCAATGGCTTCAAGATGCATGCGCATCTTATTCTTCCAGTAGGGATATTCAGTTCCATCGAAGACTGGGCACGCAGCGGAGACTTTGATTATCCCTGCAGTCGACATAGCTAAAACTCCATGTGGTTAAACCGAATCACACAGAACAAGGGAGTACCTTGCTCTAATACCAATTGAAAGTGCTAGTGATCGACTAGAGGGGGGTGAATAGGAGATTTTTATGAAAGTCTTCAAAACATGGAAGTTTCGAAGACAAACGATAGAAATAAACCCATTACCATGCAGCGGAAGGTAGACTACACTAGGCAAACCATAGTCAAGTATTCAATGGAGTGAAAGCACAATGACTAATAGCAGCTAGGCAGTAAAGATCAGGTAGGAAGATATTGTGAAGGCAATCAGAACAAGCAGTCACTCAGTGAAGACAAAAGATAAAGCAATCATACAATGACTTCACAAGGACCAACAGTAAGTAAAGGGAAGGGAAGGATGAAACCAGTGACTCGTTGAAGACAATGATTTGTTGGACCAGTTCTAGTTGCTGTGACAACTGTACGTCTGGTTAGGGAGGCTGAGATTCAACTCAGAAGACCTCATCTTCACCTTATTCCCCTTGAGCTAAGGACACCCAGTCCTCGCCCAATCACTCTGGTAAGTCTTCAAGGTAGACTTCCAAACCTTCACAGACTTCGTTCACCGGCGATCCACAATGACTCTTGGATGCTCAGAACGCGGCGCCTAACCGGCTGGAGGATTCACAGTCCTCAAGTGTAATAAGTCTTCAGATCACACAAACAGGAAGACTTAAGTGATGCCTAACACTCTTTGGCTCTGGGTGTTTAGGGCTTTATCCTCACAAGGAATTCTCTCTCAAAGGCTTCGAGGTGGGTTGCTCTCAAATGACAAAAGCCGTGTACTAACTCTGAGCAGCCAACCGTTTATGGTTGTAGGGGGTGGGCTATTTATAGCCACTAGGCAACCCGACCTGATTTGTCCGAAATGACCCTTGGTCACTAAGGAACTGACACGTGTTCCAACGGTCAGATTTCAAACACACACGGCAACTTTACTTGGGCTACAAGCAAAGCTGACTTATCCAACTCTGGACAAGATTTTTCTCTCATAGTCTTCACTCGAAGACATAGGATTTTGGTTAAGCATCACTTCAGTCATTCTGACTGGTTCACTTGGACCCCACTTAACAGTACGGTGGTTCCTATGACTCAACAAAGAAGAAAAAGAACGAGAAAAGAACTAAGTCTTCGCGCTCCATAGTCTTCATGCGATGTATTCTCTTGTCATAGTCTTCAATGTGAATGTCTTCACATACCACCTTTGACTTCAATGTCTTCTTACATTTTTAGGGGTCATCTCTGGTAGGAAAACCGAATCAATGAGGGACTTCTACCTGTGTTATCCTGCAATTCTCACAAACACATTAGTCCCTCAACTAGGTTTGTCGTCAATACTCCAAAACCAACTAGGGGTGGCACTAGATGCACTTACAGGCAGGCCCCAATCTACCCATGGGAGCCATATTTCCTTCTCTTAGTCGATAGCACAGTCATGCAAAGTGAACAAGATGGTCATACATCTTGGTCCTCTGACTCCAATTCCGAACGACGAAGGTTGGATAGTCTCGGCCTCTTTGGAGAGCATGTGAGTATTGTGTTCCCCAACTCCGACTGGTCAGTATTGGGGCTTTCTATAGGCCTCGACATTGTTTCCTTTTATGAGACAGACATTTACTACATTGATCACGACCGTCGGCGTCTCCTGGTCAACATCGATGACTTATAGGTCGCAACTTCTACAAGCTCTTGTGTTTAAGAAAGTTTGCTCCGCTGAGACAAAGACCAGAGGCAGGAACAAGCTTTGGTCTTGGCACCGCCATTGGAACAGGAGGAAGAAGACTTCCGCACCCCCAAAATTTTGGATGTATTTTTCCATTTTTGTAAGAGTGTTTTTGTAAGGATTTGTGTTACTTAATACTCCCTCCGTCCCAAAATTCTTGTCTTAAATTTGTCTAAATACATATGTAGTATCAATTGATACATCCGTATTTAGACAAATCTAAGACGACAAAATTTTTGGGCGGAGGGAGTATATACTTTTGCCTTTTCACAAAAAAGGAATAAAATGAGGCATCCCTGTAATTTACATGCATATTGGCCATTGATACATATAGGTCATCTTGTATGAATGCATGCAATAATGTTCATGCATGTTTTGATGTTGGCCACCAACTAATTTGCATAAAGAAAGCATGGAGTTGAATGAATGCATGCACACAATGTTCTGATAACCATCAACTAACTTGCATAAAAAAAGCATGAATAACACATATAGGCACGCACCTATAAATTAAGATCATGCCTAGCAACCTATTCCCGATCCAGAGGTTACAATGATATGTGGTCATTACAATTTCCATATGTATATATTTGTAAAGCTTATGTACGAGTTGGGATATTAGAGGACAACTGAGATGTTACAGGGAGCTTGATTGGGAGGTGGTTTGAGTGAGTGAGAGACGGGTTCTGCCAATGTGATTATTTTCTGCTGCTTATGATGAATAGCCTCACTTGTGATCAAGTGGTCGTAATTTATAGCAGGACAGCATGCTGCACTACGTTTCATCTCATCGGTGACACAAGAAAACACCACACAACGGAAGAGCAGAGCTAAGTTCACGAGCAGCCACCTTGTTGAGGTCTCACAGTTCCGCAAGCGTGTTGTCAAGATCGTGGGTGCTGCCCTCCAAGTCGGTCGGGTGTCTGCCTACTTCACGGAGCAATTAGACCACTAGGAATGGCGGCATATGTGACACTTGCAACATCCAAGCGAAGGCACTTCACCCGGCTATAGCCTGCAAATTAAACTAAAGCCCAGGGTAGAATCCAACCGAAAGCACACTGCAAAGAAACAGTGTTGAGCAAGGGACATTTATTTGCCATCACACGAAAACTTTGGAACCAAGGGATTTTGATCATGATCAGCAACAGGGGGATGCAAATGCACATTGATTGCAGCATAGAAACAACAGAACGTCAACCTAAGATACTCCTTAGAAACAAACCGGCCTTTGTGTTGAGCATCAAACGGCCTTAGAAAACATATTCAGATGATATACAGAAACAGTAGAGATCACTGTCAAAACATCTTATTCATTAGCATCATCAAACTCAAAAACAACTTAGGACCTTCCTTTGCACATCCACGGTCAGGTAAACCATTGCAACAACGTTGTTTTCAAAGCGAGTTAGTCCCATTAGTTTCTTTCTAGGATACAATTTCTTCCTGCTTCTGAACCCAACTTCCGGCATGACCATGATCAAACAACTACAAGATACCAAGAAGAAAATTCAGAATCTAGTAACAAACAATTAGACCAACGGTATAACAACACATCAGATGACATCACATGTGCGAAATCCTGGCAAGACATTTTTGAGCATGACCTACTTAAATCAATAAAGATCCCAAGATATGTGAGCTACGGGTAAGTTGAAAATGTTGGCAGTTTGATAACAGATTTTGGATAAATGAATCGGCACTAATGAGTACAACAGATATTTTCTCCAAAATACAAGATATTACAGAGATATATAGATAGAGAAAAAAAGAATGTGCTTACATGCCTTCTAATATTATTATTATTTTGCGGGGGATATGCCTTCTAATATAACTCCAACCGGAGAATATTCTGAAGTGCACCCATGTAACGTCACTGAAGAATCACATGTCACATTCAGATATCTTTTGTAATATTTAAGTGACCGCTACAAATCCATGCACAATAACCTACTAATATATCTTATAACCCATCTTACATGTCTGAACTTTGAATATAGCATCGTAGATTTAGGTGAGATAGCTTTATCTCGAGAACAATTTTTCCACTGCATAATAGCTTCAGGAGAGAGAATATCAGATAAAGCTACTGCCTAAACAGAGATGTATGGGTGTCAGTTTGCTATATAAACTGAAGCTACTACAATAACTCAGTGTCAGTTCGCTATATCAGCTGAAGCTAATTTCAAAACCCACCACTGCAATTGACACATCCTGAAACCTAGCCTGATTCTAAATTACTCATCATCGTGCAGCACTAGGATTCTCATAAAGTATTTATGCTGCCAATAACCTGGGTCCGGGCGCAACCTCAAAAAACGAGGAAAAACAGTCACAAGCATCTAAAGCCATCTCAAACACACCCTGAAAGCATCGCACGCCCCAAATGCAGAACAATAATGAAAAATTCAACAAAAACTGAACAATGTGAATGTCACATGCTATCAATGCCCGATGTGCCAGCATATGTCAAAATATCTCAAACCACCTTGGAGCTTAACTGATTAAGAGATCAGCTGAAAGATTCAGCAACAGAACCATTAGTTCAAGACTTGATCTTGCAACATGAAAAAATAACAAGACGACGCCACACTGCCATATATTTCTAGAGGTTCACTTCAAAGTTGACGCACGAGATAGACACATCTACATCACTACCTCTCCAGCCATGCGAATTCTACATGCCACCAGAGCAGAGCCCATACTTGTGCTGCCCTGAAAGATTGTTGTTGTCCTTGTCCAAAGCAACTGAATCCCCATGTGCAAATATTCATTTCCCCCTGTGTATCAGCAGATAAACAACAATCAGGTCACTAAGAAAGGTGTTACATGTGCATAGAGGTACACATGTTCTAGCCACCATAAGAATTATATAATACAAACAACATAATATTCGACAAAAAGAAGCAGTTTGATTGTACTTGTAAATAAACTTTAGGCATATCTTTGTGTGTTCAGTACCCAGTGACATAGAAGCTCATGAGGTACATGAAGCAGCATACGCCGACTAACAGGACTAGCTTTTCTATAATCCACAAGGTATTGGTACGAGCTCCTTTTTTCCTGAGGAAGTTCTTCTTCTGCTCACCATCCATCAACTCAGCCGGAGTATTTTTCTCTTGCGCTCGACGGAGGATGTTGAGTTTGAAGTCAACAAGCAGTTGATCCTGTAGGCTCTCAGGTAGACGCGGGTACACTTCATTCACCAGCTCTGCAAAAGCTTCCTTAACTCTGGTGTCAGCAATCAATTCATCAGTCTTGAGAGCTTGTGCACACTTCACTGCCTCAGTCAACACTTTGGTCAACTTTAGCTTCTCTGGATTCTCTCTAAAAAGAATGACAAACAACAAAAACTCAGCCTTGTCCATTTTTCTTTGGTTGATGCTCAAGTGGATGATGTTATACAACAAGAAAAATGCATGACCCTAACAGATTTTCAAGAGAGAGGAAAATCAAATGGGTAACTAAAAGTGTTCCTCATGAACATTGTTCATATACATACATATAAAACAGTTTTTTCAGTCATGAATTCTCAGAAGAACAAAAAGACCAGCCATTATTAGCGTCCAATAATAAAGGCTATCTAAAATATACACCGGGGCAAAAGCCCTGGGCTGGATGGCTTCACTTCGGCTTTTTTTTCAGGACTTAATCAGGGAAGATACACTTACCTTGCTTGATCAGTTCTTTGAGGGAACAGTGGAGCTTGACAGAATAAACATATCTTTTATGATTCTGCTGCCGAAAAAAAGACAACACCAACACCCCTGATAACTTAAGACCGACCCCCTTTCTTGATTGACCAAATAAGTGGATTACTAAGGTACTTGCAGCCAGATTACAGTATTTCATTAAGGCCTTGTTCGGTTAATCCTCTTCTCAAGGGGATTGGAGGGGATTTTGGCTTGTAGGGGATTTAATCTCCCTCAATCCCTGCCAATCCCCTCGAAATCCACCTCAACCGAACAAAGCCTAAGTCATTTGTTGATGAGGATCAGTTGGGACAGATGCATTGCGGACAACTCTTTCTATGTCATAGATTCAATCCAGAACTATAGAAAAAGGAAAAGTGGAGCCAATCTGAAAAGGGGTTTAAGGCAAGCAGACCCGCTCTCCCCACTACTGGTCATAGTTGGACGTTCTCTAGTAGACAATTAAGCAGTTTGCTTCTCGAGGTTTACTGCGGCACTTTGTTTTACCTGAATAACCTCACCTCGTGCTCCAAGATGCCGAAGACATGTTAATTGTTATGGAAGCAGACCAGGAAAATGCCAAGTTACTGAAGGAGAATTTGGAAGCTTTTTCAAGGCATAGTTGGACTGTCGATCAACTACTCCAAGTCAACTTCTGTCCCCATAAACCTAGAGGCATGTGAGAGTGTTCAAATTGCTTCAGTTCTTGGCTGTTTCGGTGGAAACCTTCCCCCGGAATTACCTGGGGCTACCTTTAGCAGATTCAAAGCTTCCAAGGAAGCATCTCTGCCCTTCATTTCAGCCATTGAAAAAAGGCTGCCTGGTTTCTCTTTGGCTTCGGTGGGAGGAGGCTTTGCTCTGTTTGGATGTTGATATTCAGGGCCATGGAATTGAATTATCCCCAATATCAAACCTGTCATGGGATAGGCCACGGGCCGGGCTGGTGATGGGCTTTGACTGCAACTGCGTCCAAGAGATGAGAAAGAGAGATACAAGGGATTAGGATATAAGCGACAGCTTCTCTGCAGAAAGGCATCGAACATAATAAAAGCAGCTTCAGGCCTTCTTCTTCTTCCTCGGTTCCTCTCCGTTCCCTCGTGTCCGTACGACCTTCCCTCCCTCCCTCTTGCTGCCTACCCTGATTCCCTGCTCTTCCTCGTCTAATTCCTCCAATTACTCGTGTAATCTGTACCTTGTATCTAGTTCATGGTGTTAATCTGTATGAGAGAGGCACGTTCGTTACAATTGGTATTCAGAGCCACCGTTCCTCGCGCTCTTCCGGCCTTGATCCGTAATTCCGACGATAGGTTGGTGGTGGATCTTGTTCTGCTGCTGTAATACCGATCCGCGGTCAGATCGGTTGGAAGTTGCTACAAACTGGTTTCTGGACACTAATTGTTTGGCGAAATGTCAGAACAACCAGGAGGTGACCATGAACAGCGCCATCCATGTCTCCGTGAGCCACATGATTTATCCTATGACAGAGGCCGTGCTCTGGCAGGTCTTTGAGCTTTATGGTTGTGGTGTGACTATGATTGCTATGTTCCAGGGAAATGGTTGGGTGGAGACCTCGGTCCAGCTTCGATCTGGATGCGAGGCTGTGTGCGCGCCTAACGCCCTGCATGGCAGGAACATCTACAACGCATGCTGCAATATTTCCATCGTGTGTACACCTATGCCGAGCCCTTGGCAATCTTTTGTCATGCCAGCGGCACCGTCCCTCTCTAAGGTGTCAAACACAACTTTGATGACCCTCACCACAGCAACAACACCATTGTCATCCACAGCGACTGTTGACACACCTACAGGGGTCCAGCCCTTCGCGGGGACCGCCCCCACGAGCACCTAGAAGGTGTTCACCAAAATTTCATCATTGCCCATGCCAAGCTCCAATGTTGAGGATGCCCAGCCTATTCTGATGTCAATTCCTGCAACAAATACTTGTGCGGCCACTCTTCAGTGTCAGGGAAGGTACAGCAATGCCAGGCAGTCAAGGTGTTCGACACAAGGCTTGAAGTGGAAGGAATCCGGACGCAACCCAGAGTCCCAGACACCTCATCAAGTGGGTCTCCAAGGTGCCAATCCCTCATCGCCGAGTGCGCTGGACTCCGAGGAGCAAGTACCGCCATTCCTCAATACCGCCGCCACCACCACGTCCTCCCGAACAGCCATGTTCAGGTCAGGTACCAAAGTCATTGCCATGGTCATCCCTTCAGCTCGTGACTTCACTTAGGTGCAACACAGAACTTTGCCTGGCGGACACATAACCATGGGTCCGAGATGCTTTCGCTCCGGGATATGATGAGGAGCAACATATGGTGCATATGTTCTGTGATGCTATACAGAGTAGTTCTCGAACCATGTCAAATTGCAATATCCTTGATTCTTCTATAACCTTGCAAGCAATGCAAAATCATGAAGAGTGGTCTGAACAGTGGATCCAGAGATCCATCTGGTATGTGGGTTACTGGGAATCTTAATTGGTGCAAGGGAATGCAAGATACAATTCTCATTAGGCAGTGCACCTCATGGGAGTTCACAGCTCCACTGAAATGGTTGACAGTTCAAATTGGTACTGTCAGGCCTTTTGATCCAGCAAGGAAGCTTGATTTAAGATCCCAGGCTGTTGTTACTTTTTGTACAAGGGCAGAGGTATGATCAATACAGGAGACAGAAATCTTAAGTAGCAGTGGGACCCAGGAGTTCATTATGTGATAACCATATATAGTTGATTGCCAAATTTATGGAAGTGGTTGTGCTCAGCAAGCTACCCGAAGGAGTTATTGCATCGCTTTCTAGCATAGCTATAAGTACCGATCATTGTCAGCTACAAAAGATTTAGGTGCCACTAGAGAAACAAATGAGACAATTCTGAAGGTGCATCCGGCTACTCATATTCAATTGCAAGAAAATTTATTCAATGTGCAGTCAGAAGTGGACTCGAACAATGAACTTATCGCAGCCACTCCCGACACCTTCCTGCTAGCTTGGCTGAAGTACGGTGATGGTTTTATCAAATTGGATACCCACCCTTGTGGCATGGCGTGGTTGGTACCACAAATTTTGTTTGTGGAATTTTCTGCAACCTTATACTGATTATTGCTGCGATCGTAGACTATATGTGCATTTGTTCAGCACATGAATGAATGAATCATTTGTACAGCATATGAAAGAATGAAACGACAAATTGTACATTCAAGCATCAAAAGGACCCAAAAGCAAATTTTGTATCCACATCTAAGGCTAACAGACCAAGATCACGCACAAAGCACATCAAATACGTAGGTACCTTGGATCTTCCTGCTGGGGATTCATGCCCAAATCCAGTGACCTACAAAAGGTAAGAGAATCTCAGATTACTAGCACACAGGGGGTTTCTGAGTAGGGTTAGGGAGGGGGCTAGGGGATGGTGGCCATGGGGCTGGAGGAATAAGCGGCGACGGGGGGAAGAGGCTGGCGTGCCTTGTGCCACGGGAGGCCGCGGGCGTGCGGTGGGGTGCGGGGAGGCGAGCGAGCGGGGAGATGGGCGCGGGGGTGGGTGAGGCGGAGGCGCCTGGAGGTGCGCGCACGCGAGGGAGGAGGGGATCGATCCGCCGGAGAGAAGAGAGACGGAGAGGGGCTGACCTGAGCCGCCGGAAGCACTGCGCTACTCCGGCTAAAGTTCGCCTTTCCCCTGGAGCGTCGGCGAACCGGTAGGAGGAGCGCTCGATCCCGAATAGCAGACCAAGTAGTCCTGGCCATCTCCGGCCCGGCCCTGTCGGCCCACCCAGGTCCGGCCCTAAAATCCAGGGCCTAGGCCGATGGGCTTGCCCGTGGGCCGGGCTTGGGCCTGAGTTTTGAGCCCACCAGAAGGGCCTAGATGGGCTTGGGCTTGGCATATTGGCAGTTTAAGGAAGAGGCCTGGCCCACGGCCCTATGCTCTAAAGGCTTTTCAGGGCTTTTTACCAGATGGGCCGGGCTTGGGCTTGAAAAGTAGGCCCGATGGTAGAGCCTGGGAGGGTCTGGGCCTCTGTTTTCTGCCGTGTGTTTTTTAGGCCCGGCCCAAGCCCGGCCCATGGCCAGGTAGAAGACCAAGGTTTCTTCTCTTTTATTTAGCCGCTGGTTATTTTGCACATTGATAATTTTCCGCTTTTTTACACTATTACTTCCTCTGTGAACTAATCTAAAATCGTTTAGATCACTATGTGAAACGCATGAATAAAAAAAATTAAAAATTCAGACTTTTTTATTATTCTAATGCTTTGCTTCTTCTTTTTCCTTTTTTGAGGGAATATCGTTTGCTTCTTCGGATTTTTTTAACCAGTCTTGCCAAGAAGTGAACATCGATATCTCTGACGGTTCGCAACTTACAAGGTCGTACTCTAGGGATCGATTAAGTCAACTTGTTTGAGAACATTCTAAATTACGATGTTTCTTTTTGGATTGCTCATTATGGTAATTTGATCGATTGATACACTATTTAAGTTTGGAATGCTAACTAGGGTGACAATGTTTATTTTTTAGAATGCTAATTAGTACATTGCTTAATTGCTAATTACGGTGCTTTAATGGGTACAACATCATTGGAGCAATGTAGGTTATCAGACCTAAGATAACGAATAGCTGATATTCAATGTTTCTACCACAACTTGGTTGTTTAATAGTAGTAGTGGAGATTGTAATTCATTTGTTGCTGC